GAACAGCCTTTGTACTCAGTTCTTTCCTTAAACGAAACTGTCTAGGTCAGCATCCTATATCCCTCAAGAGGAGACGCAGACTTTCCTGTACTTGTAGAGCTTACCTCTTTGTGGCTAGGCCGCTGGTAGTTGATGTACCTGCACTGGAAAACCTGAAACTCGACAAGATAACTGAACAGTAAAAGCACCTTCAAAAAGTAATAAATAAATGCCTTACCTTATAATTTAGAGCTTCAAATCTGTTTTGTGTTACAATCAGTGCCGTTATGCGTTTCTTCAGGAACGCAGCCAGAAGTACTTCCAAAACGTGCTTCTTGAAAATCAAACAATCATTCAGTTTGGGTTACTTGCTCTTGAGAGGGCGCGATGAAAAGATGTCTTCGAGGCCACGTTCGAGTGAAAAAAGTATTAAAAATATGATGACGTTCGAAGGCGGTTCCTGAAATAAAACTTTTTAAGCTAGTTGTTATCAGTTTATAAGACAAATACACTGATGTAACGAAATTGTGTTGGTCAATCTTTATTTTTCATTCCTGATCATGAAAAGCAGCTCCATTACAACAAAATTTAAGTAACTAATGTAAGATTATTTATTGTTGGTTTAAAAGAAAAATATCGTAGATGATATACCTTTTGTTGTTAAACTTTATTTTCCATTGGCTTTTAATTACGTACAGCGAAATTACAATAACCTCAAAATTAAAACATCTCTTTCCTTTCATCTTCAGCACCTTTCTCTCATCTCCGTCTTCCAAATAGGTGTTGTCATGCGTTTCTTCAAGAACGCATCCAAAAAAACAGTGCAAATATCTCTTTCCTTTCATAATAAGCACCTTTCAATCTTTTCCATCTTCCAAATTGGTGGTGTCATGCGTTTCTTCAAGAACGCATCCAAAAAAGCCCTACAACGCTACGGTAAAAAAAACCGTGTTCGATCTGGAGAGAGCGCACCCATTCAGTCTTGAAAAAAGTGGCGGTAGAGTCCAAAAAAGACGATAAAAATAATTGATTTTCGAAGCGCCTGAAATGAAACATTAGTTAGTTGTGTTTTTATAGTAGAACACACTGTGACACTCAGTCAACCAATGTGCGCATTTGTTTAAAGACATGACACTCACAGATCTGTGTTTTTTTGGTATATTTTTATTGTATTGACTTTATTACAACATAGTCCCTGCAAATCAAATCATTCTTGGTTAGCACTTATAATTAACTATTCGTATTCTATCCATTTTAGTTTTAAAATTAGAAAAAAATCACACAGACAACATATTAGTTTAAGTGTTTTTATTAAATTCAATTCGCGGTTTACACAGATGAAGTAGTCGTGTGTGATGGGGGATGCGCTCCTACGAGAATTTGGCGTCCGAGTGAGACCGAGGAGTGTGACATGTGTCCATAAATGTGATTGACACCTCGAATGAAACACACCAGGGTCCCACGGACGGTACGCAGGGAAATCTAACGGCCTGCTATCGAAGTATCATCGATACCATAGCCTTCACATTTTTCGAAACCGAATCCGGAATCAGATCGAAAATCAAGTCGAAAACCAGAAAAGCCGAATGGACCGAATCGAAAATCTAAGCGCGAAAAAAAGAAAAAAATCCACATACCTTGTCCCACGCGTAGTTTTTAGACTTGGGCTGATTGATGTGGTGCAACGTTTGCATAACTTACGAACGTACCTACTCACAAAAACAATATTTCCGCGGATATTCAATTTAATTTGTTTCATACGCTACTCCACAAAAAGCGAGTCTACTTTAAGCAAACTTTGTACCAACATCGATCAGCCCTACCTTATATGGGCTGCTGTACTCTGTTGTGTTTTAATTCTCCACCAAAAGACCAATGATACTGGGACCCAAAATCCAACAGAAAAAAAAGGCGTGGTTGCATGTCCATGAAGACTTTTGGAGACTTGGAGCTGCTCCAAAGATGAAGTCCGGCCGGCCAATTATATATTTTTTTAATTAATTATTATAGTAGCTGTCTCAACTAAAATTGAGCAAAGTGACGTCAACCATTGCGGAAAAGGGTATCTGAGATAAGATAAAAATCAAATTATGTGGAATTTGTTAAATTCTTTCCCACTTGGAACGAAAGGGGGATAGTAGACACAGTCGTGGATATCAATGTTAGTCAAGACAGCTCTTTAAAGTTATCGCTATATGCTGTCTGCTCTGATTTAACCTTGTTTCCCTAATCATGAAGTAGTTTCGTCATAACCATCCGTCGTCATCATCATCATCATCATTATCAGGAGCCGATTACTAATCGGCTCCTGTCATTATCTGATTTATTTTTACATGATTCTTCCACATGCATCGCCGCAAAGGCAGCTACCTCGCCTACTTAAGTAACTGGACTATCTTTCTCTATGTGTCTCCATGTTCTTTGTTCTTCTTTCTTCGGCCGGCCTCTTCTCTTGATGTAGCAGTGGACCCACAATACAATACAACGCAAAACAATGCAATACATTTTATTCACATTTCCAACACTGCACAAAACAGTATTACTCGATCGAGAAATATTTTGTTACAAGATTCAGGAAAAAAGTAAAGTAAACAGTGCGCTGCTTAGGATTCTGTCCCAGTCGAGACGTGCTTTGGAGGTAGAACACTGCTAACGACTCCCGGCGAAGACTGCCAAGAAACCAAACCACGAACGGTCGACGTGAAGACTTCATACGCCTACCATTTGTAGACGATCTGTGCCTGCGTAGTGCAATGCAGGACTTCCTAAGAAGAAAACTCTCCAGCAAGGCAAAATTAACAGGAAGACAAATCAAATCGTCTTAGTGTCGACAATGCCTCGCCAGAGTATCCTCTCCTGCTACTTACTGAACGACTATTTATAACCTACGAGGTTTTCACATGAATGCCATTCAAGGGGCACGCACGTAAAGATGTAGTGGGCCTTCACGCGAGTGTCCCCGAAATATTTCGCATATTAGCATTCTTGTGTCCACTTCGCTGGCTACTACAACTCTACTTAAAGCCTATCAGCTTGTTCGTGCTCCGCCAATGATGAAACTGCGTCGTAGATTGATCTCGAAGACTTCCTACGCTTACGATTTGTAAACGATCTAGCCTTATGGCGTGTGGGTTGTCCCATATTACCCTAGTAACCTGCAGCAAGGCAACTCATCTCGAGAAGAAACGCCTGGTCGCAGATTACCTTCTTTGTAAGACTAAACCTGTCAACTTATCTCTACTCTCAAAAGTTCGAAGTCTGCAAATGCGCATTGGAAAATTTCCCTTCAAACCCGAACTGTTTAACATAGAAAGTCAAATTGGTAGGAGCAGACTCGAGCTTGCGAGGCTAAGCTAACTATCTACTTGTAACCAGAGAGATCATTAAGCTTGTAGGAGATGACCAAATGAGATCTTCTCGCTCTAGCTAGCTGAATGATCTGAGGTCTCCAGTTCACTAAGTTATATCTTAGAATAATCACTGTCTGGTTGAACCTTACGATTGAAAGCTTCACTTGCCCAGCGCATAGACTATCAAGTGAAGTGTAATTGATAAGCTGAATTTGGCGCAGCTAAGCGGGAGAAGTGAAGACGACGACGACGACGACGACGACGACGAGGACGATGACGACGACGAAGATGGCGGCGGCGGTGAAGTTCATATGAAAAGACGGAGCCGAACCTTAAAGCCGAACCTATTCCTTAAAGCCGAGCCGATTCCTAAAAGCCGAACTCTCGTCGATGACCGAACACCTGCAAAGGAACCCAGCTTATGAAAAAGGGAAGGGGAGGCCCTTACCATCCTGGGGAACCCCGCTAGCTAATCTAACTACACTTAATTAAGTTAAGCCGAATGAGAAGTCCGGTGACTTCATGCCGAAGGTGTGTGGAAAGTATGCTTTGTAAGGTTCATCCAGAGCTCTATATACCCCCCTTGACCCAACCCACAAGGAAAGCACCTGACCTGTACCATTTCAGTAGAAAAAGGTGTGGTGGGCCTCCACGCGAGTGTCCCCGAAATATTTCGCATATTAACATTCTTGTGTCCACTTCGCTGGCTACTACAACTCTACTTAAAGCCTATCAGCTTGTTCGTGCTCCTCCAATGATGAAACTGCGTCGTAGATTGGTCTCGAAGACTTCCTACGCTTACGATTTGTAAACGATCTAGCCTATGGTCTGTGGGTTGTCCCATATTACCCTAGTAACCTGCAGCAAGGCAACTCATCTCGGGAAGAAATGCCTGGTCGCAGATAACCTTCTTTGTAAGACTAAACCGGTCAACTTATCTCTACTCTCAAAAGTTCGAAGTCTGCAAATGCGCATTGGAAAATTTCCCTTCACACCCGAACTGTTTAACATAGAAAGTCAAATTGGTAGGAGCAGACTCGAGCTTGCGAGGCTAAGCTAACTATCTACCTGTAACCAGAGAGATCATTAAGCTTGTAGGAGATGACCAAATGAGATCTTCTCGCTCCAGCTGAATGATCTGAGGTCTCCAGTTCACTAAGTTATATCTTAGAATAATCACTGTCTGGTTGAACCTTACGATTGAAAGCTTCACTTGCCCAGCGCATAGACTATCAAGTGAAGTGTAATTGATAAGTTGAATTTGGCGCAGCTAAGCGGGAGAAGCGAAGACGACGACGACGACGATGGCGGCGGCGGTGAAGTCCATATGAAAAGACGGAGCCGAACCTATTCCTAAAAGCCGAGCCGATTCCTAAAAGCCGAACTCTCGTCGATGACCGAACACCTGCAAAGGAACCCAACTTATGAAAAAGGGAAGGGGAGGCCCTTACCATCCCGGGGAACCCCGCTAGCTAATCTAACTACACGTAATTAAGTTAAGCCGAATGAGAAGTCCGTTGACTTCATGCCGAAGGTGTGTGGAAAGTATGCTTTGTAAGGTTCATCCAGAGCTCTATATACCCCCCTTGACCCAACCCACAAGGAAAGCACCTGACCTGTACCATTTCAGTAGATTGGGTGTGCTGTGCTGATTTGAAGCTGAGCAATCAAGGATGATTGTGGTCTGGTTTGGAAGGTGGCTGTTTGCTCTGAGGGGCTGATTAGGTGGTGAAGTCTGCCAGTCTGGCATGGCATTCGGATGGTAGTGGTCTGATCTGGGTTCGGATCTGATGGTCGGGTCCAATGCCCGACTAGTCTGGCTGTCTGGTTGCTGGTCTGATCTGTAGGTCTATCTGAGGAAGATGGTCTGGTCTGTTTGAGGTCTGAAAATTGAAAAGAAGGAAAGGAGATGTAAAATCAAGCCCGTCACTAGGAGCTATACAAAGAGAAACGAGACAAAATAATACTAAATACGCAAACTTTAGGATTGAGTTGCAACTCTAAAAAGGACTATAAACCAACCAAACTGATACCAGAGCTGTGCTCACGATCTTTTCTAATCGTTTCCATTTGTACTTAGTATCGTAAATCACCCTGCCCATCCTAATGGTAGGAACCCACGTTCTGTGGCAATCTATTCGGGCGAGTTAGCTCCAGGTAATGGAATTATACAACAGGAGGTGATAATACGCTGATAATAAAGTTTTGATTGCAAATGGTCCCCAAATTCTGTAGGTCTTTTTTTCTTGGTTTTAGTCAGCCGGAATCTGCATGGCAAAAACTAACAGAAACCACAAAGAAATGCAGAAACTGATCAATATTTTACCTTTCACTTTTAAATATCGCAAGTAACTCATTTTGGGGCTCAAAATAAACAATAAAATTGTTAATTCTATACTAATAATTAATTATAAACGACTCTGTGTTTGTAATGAGAAATTCTTACTGTAAGGCCTTAGTTGATCTTTTTTTTATCATTAATGTAACGTTTGATATGCATTGTATAGAACGAATAAAGACATTAGTAATACCGTATTATCATCATTTTAAACTATAAATTACAGGCAAGTCTTTCTTGTTTTATCAAAAGAGAATGGTCCTGCTGCAGAGACAAGCGAGCAAGGCAGTTTACAAAACATTGTTCGCAATACAAGAAAATGTGAGCTCACATGTTCCTATCTTTAACAATTAGCATAGTTTTTTTTCCTCTATTCTGCTAAACTTGTAAATTTTTGTTTTAGAACATCAAATGCAAAATGAAAAATTTCGAACTTCTACGCCTTCGGTTGGATAAATGGTGTGGCTTCAAAGTCTCGTTTTTATAACTAGAACCGGGAAAAAAATATATATCAAATTTATTATTGTACACCAATTCTTTTCTTGGTCGCCAAAATGAATTTGGAAGAACACCCGACAGTTTTTCCCTAGACATTTTTGTTTTTTTCTTTGCTGGTATTTCATTAGTGACTTCCACGTGTTCGAAACGGCGCTGTTAAAATCACAGAAATCACGGAGTAATCTTGCTTGAACAAACGGTTTCATTTCAACTGGTTATTTCTCCTTTTAAAACGAATTAGTTAATATACCTTAAACAACAACAGTCAGCGAGGAAATAACTTATTTATTTAATATGTTGGACTCGCCGGAGTACGAATTTCAGCTAAACTAACGATAACTCAGTAACAAGTAATTTACGTACCTTCTGTGCTGGTTTTGACATCGCACGGATTGACTTCTGAACTCTAATGGACTGTTTCGGTCCATAGTTAGCTTTCTTGCTTGTGGTGAAGCTGAGAAAAACGGATAGACTGTTTTATGTGAAGCGCTTAGTTCTTTTGAGTAAGTTACCCTTCTCGCCGCAACAGCCGCTTCTGAAGTTTTCAATTTTTGAATGTGGCGCGGAGCAACTTCTTGCATAATTAAAAAGGCAATACTTGATTGGACTTTTTCTGCTGCACGTGGGTATGAGAACAAGTTGTTTACTACATTTCGGGTTTTCAGCTTTGATTAACATTCACTGAATAAATTATATGGACAGGCTCACGGTTTGGGAAAATGGCAAGAAAAATTCAGAACTGGTAAATATTATTCTGGAATCGTGTTTACTATTCCTTTTTTAAACGGTCGCGAAAGCCCGAAACTCACTCCACCCTCCCTCCCCCGTCTAAAATCCCCTCTCCCCTCGCCCCCAAGGAAAGGGCTGATAACCGGTAACGGTGGTAACCTGGGCCCAAGTTGAACCCAGTGTCCCTCGAAAAATCCAATCGGAAGCATCGAAGAAGCGTCCGTCGAAACTCGACCGACTAAGAGTTTTTGCCGAAAAAACCTCCCACTTTTTATAAAAGGGAAGAAGGGTAGGCAAAAAGACATGGCAACAGACACTCAAACAAGACACAGGTAACTTTGGTGCTCGATTTTCGCGTTTTTGGTTATCCCGAGTATTAGTTGTCAAGGAATTAGTTTTTGTTTACATTAGCAAGAACCGCATTTTTACTGTATTTTAGCAAAGGCACGTAGTGTAATCTTTATCGTTTACTTACTGGCTCAAATGCCGATGTTTTGAGCTGCATTTAACATTATCGTTGTCTGTGTTTTCTCTTCATGGAAACCAGTTTCATAACTTTTTAAACGATCTATCTCACTCTGTTTTGTTCAGCTGAAGCAAGCTTTTATGATGCATGCTTACTACCATGTACTACCTTCAAACAATTATCATTACTTTGTCATCCCCACTCTTGGTTCAAGCCTTGAACTGTTATTTTTATTTGTATTTAATAGTATACCAGTCTGGTCACGCCACCATCCACAAATCCCACAGCGATATGTACCACAATGGACGCAAGATATGAAAAACAGAAGCCTTATCTTGGAGGTTGGTTTTGGCTCCGTTGTGTGTCTCTTGGGCAGTACAGTCAACTCTTTCTAAGTCGGACACCTTTGGGGCCGGTACTTAGTATCTAAGAGAGATGTCCGTCTTATAGAGAGTCAAATTACTCTAGTTGTCTGTTTTACAGAGGTGTCTGTCTTATAGAGGTGTCCTTTAAGAGAAAGTCGACTGTAGTTCAGTGTGATAATAGGCTCAGCCACATATATATATGTAGTACATGCGGCATGAATAAGGTTTAAATTGTCTAAATCACTGTCGGTCAGTTAGCCTGCAAATACAGCCGTCTCTCCTCATTCCACTCAATAGAGCCACTAGAGACATTTTGCTAGAGAGAGAGATGTCTGCAATTCGGCCTCCTTAATACAAAAGACTGTGTGCAATAAACGAATTGGAAACAAGTTCAGAAACGAAATTGAAGCTGTAAATCATGAAAGGAAGTTAATCATATCAGTGCAGCTACGTGTATAGAAAACATGGAAGCTGTAAAAGCTACCAATACAATGTCAAGATTATCTATTTCCTACATTTATGCCTATTAGAACTTCGATAAAAACTGACAAAAATAATATTATTGGCAGAGCATCTGAAGAGCTGCTAACTGCTTGACAACCACCAACAAGCTTTGTTGTAGTGGCTGCAAATTGAAAGTTTCAACAAAGTTATTGTTTTTGTTGTGATTAAATTTTGAGTCCTCATTTAGTACAAGTAACTGCCGTATTGAATTCAAGATGATCTTCCTTGTACATTCAAACATTGAAGTGGGAGAAGACTCCCGCAGACAATCAACTAGCTGGTTCACACCCTCTTTCATTTCTTTTTTTTTCTGTTATAGAATTGCAAGCTTTCTAAGTATCCATACGGACCACATGATACAAGTATTTATTTGACTCACAGAGGTAAGTCAGATAAATAATAAAAACTAATTTAAAACAGACTTGCCAAGTCTCACTTTTTTGTCCTGAGTCTCACCTGTCTCACACTCTCACAAGTTGGCAACCGATTTCTCACACTTTCTTGAAAAGTCAAACTCCAAAAAATTTTTGAGCTGTAGGGTTTGTTTTCAAGTTTAGATATCAATAGATAACAGGCTCAACCCAAATAAAACACTTAGCAGTCACATTTGATTAAATTCTTTTAGCCTACTGCGCCTTACCGCTGCTACCAAATGTGCAGACTTCCTGTTTCTCTATGTGTCAAGATGGCACCTAGCCTGCAGTGCAGCCGCCCACGTATTGCATATAGTGTGGATGTAGGTTTAAAGTGTCTGTGCGCAGGTTAGATATGGCACCAACAAAACATAGAATTAAAAAACCTAAATCATAAAATTGAACATGTTGTGTACTGCTCCAGCTTTAAAGTGAGATAGTGACTTCCAATACCCATGATCTCCACTTAAAGTCCTTTCACTGGGACATTTGGGAAATCTCACAACTTGTTATCCATTTCTCACTAATCTTTTCCCAGCTCTAGGTTCAGAATCTCACATATTTTGCCTTTAGGGGGTTTACAAGTCTGTTCAAAAAAACAGTGTTTAATTTCTTCTCCTTACTGTCAGTGCAGTCAAACCTTTGTTGATACAGACACTGAGGGGACCATAGAAAGTGTGTATATTAATGGGGTGTCCCTATATTAATCAGGTCAAATTTAGAGAAAATTTAAAGGCTAGGGACAAGGAAAACTGTCCATCATAACAACAAGGTGTCCATATAAGCAGTTGTCTGTAAAGCAAGGTTTGACTGTAATTATAGCAAAGAAACCCATGGGTAAAGAGGAGTTATGTTTGACCTTGATTCCTGTCAGTACAAATTGCCCTTGTTTGATGCTCCATTTCCTAGTTTCATATTGAGAGGGGCTGGGTACTAGTTGGTTTATTATGGGATAAACAACACGAGACCCATATTGTCAGAAAGTCAGCATATTGAAATTAGCAACATTCTCAAGTTTGGCGTTTATCGGGTCGACATTGAACGAGGTACAGCCATTCAAAAAACTCCAAAATAATATGAATTTTACTAACTAAAGGAAATAATTTATGGACGTCCAGAGGATGTGTTCGACAATCCAAAACATACATCTCTCTCTCAAGTTTCAAGTTTTTGAATAGCTGTATCTTGTTCAATATTGGCTTGATTGACATCAAACTTAACATTTTTCATAACCTCAATGAGTGTTGTTTATCTCATAACACACCGACTTGTACCCCTGCAGCCTGTCTTAATATGAAACTAGGCAATGCTGGGGAGGGCATTTCAGGTGATATGAGTACAGTCATTGCTGAATGTAGTTTTTGGATGATGATTCACCAGACTGGTAACTTGTTTGCATTGACCACTCTAAGGCTAGCCTGCGAGCAGAGGCCCTTGGAGCTTACCTAGGAAAATCGAATTTTGCCTCTGCTTGCAGGGTACTCTAAGCAAGCCCTGCTATGAATAATTTTAACTGGAATCACCGACACAGTCAAACGTAACTCCTCAGTGCTCTGTATTATAGAATAACACAGACAGAGATCTTGTAAGTGACCACCTTGGGTCTCAATTCACAAAAGTGGTTTCAGTTAGAGCTGGTCATTTACGAGAAAAAGCTACCATATGATAAACTTATTAAGAGCAGACACACTCTTGAGAGCTTTGTCAAATGGGTGGATGGTTCCAGAAAATATCCAGACCCCCACCACAGAGGGAATTTTACTTAGAAACCCCCACCCCCTGGATTTTCAATTGATGCAAAGACAACTTCAGCTTTTTAAAAAGTTGGCAAATAGTGTGACATAGGCCCTAAATTTGAATCACAGCTCAGACGGGGGTGTCACGATGCAATAGAGTAGCCCCTGTGCAAGAAGAGCATTGACTGTACCTTTTTTTCTCTTACAGAGCGTTTGAACAATGTGGAACCACGAAAAATGGTGGACAGTAAATCAATCAAAGTACCACGTGACAGATTACTGAGACCTTGGTTTCACTCTCCCCTCTCACGTTACCAAAGCAGTTTAATGTTCAGGAAGACTTAAGATGGATAGATACTTCGCCCCGCGTTAGGGAATCCAAGACAGTCTTTGATTCTGGATTTCATGCCGTGGATTCAGGATTCTTTGTCAGTGGAACTTGGATTCTGGATTCCTTGAGCTGTATTCTGGATTCCAAAGCTCAGGATTCTGGATTCCACAAGCAAACATTTTCCGGATTCCGATACAAAATCGCCCCATGTAAGGTTATATGGGTTCCGGAATCAGAGAATTTTAGCCTTGTAGAATCCGGAATCCTGGAGTTTGGAATCTGGAATTGCGCTAACGATTGGAACCCACTGACAAGGAATCCTCAATCCAAGATATAAATCTGGAATGCAGTACCTGGAATCCGGAATCCAAAGCATGGAATCCAGAATTCAAAACTGTATTTTGATTACCTTACATAGGGGCAATACTAAAGGTTGGACTTAACCCTGAGAGTATAACATAGGACTTAAAACTCTGGCATTCAACACAAAAATAAGCATTTGTTACCCAGTTAGACTGCACGTGTGGTCCTGTAGCAAGACGATCGTACATTTACATCAAAAGTTAACAGTTTTTCTTTTAAGTGAAGGTATAATTTCCACGTACATGTTCATTGTACTTTCACTCATAAAGCATTGAAGGGACTGTTTTTTTGAGATTGTTTTATTTCTCTTTTTTATAACAGAATAGAAGCAACACGGATATAAAAAACAACCTGTAACTGAATAAAATTTTTGTTAGCATTTTGTAGGGAGCAAACGAATGAAGATAGTTTTTGTACAAAAGTGTCCGAAGTTTTAATGCAACTTTTTTGCGAGTGTGTAACTGATAATAAATTGGTTTACCTTGTCAGTAAATTATGAAAAACGTTGGACTATAAGTTATTAAGAAATGCAAGTATCGAAACCTTATCTTACAAATACATTTGTATAACGAGCAAGATCGGGAACTAACGCTGTGCTCATTATTGCGTTCAACATCGTGACATCGAAACGTGCAAAAACGTCACAAACTTGCGCGCAACGTGTACATTCTCATGTGGACCATCGCATAAATCAGGGCAAACAATATCGCACACAATCTACAGGAATCTTGTTGAAACTATTGATCTTAACACCACGCACATAAATTCGCGCAATATCGCATACAACAACTGCGTTCATCATGACATGCTATAGAACGCTAAGTATCGCGCGTGTAATATTGCACAGAATATTGCAAACACCATGGCAACATAATGACACATCACACTGCGGTCAACATCGCGCACATCATCACGCGCATCCCTTCGCCCAGTCATATATTGAAAAAGAATATTGCGCGCACCATTCCACCATCGAAACCATCTTGTGCACGCAATACTGCTCTCACTACTGATCGCAACACCACTTACATCGATGTGTCTCATAGTCTAACCTTTATCTTTAAGTTCATGTACTCTTGTTCTCAATTCAATGCACATCTTGGACATTGTAGTTGTGGTCTGCGAAAATTCCCCCTTAATCTACATCGATGGGGTAATGCTTGCAGAGGCTAATCGTTCTATGTGCAACAACTCATGTTAACCTAGTGTTCCCGAATAAATCTGATTATTTGGATAAGTAGCCTGCGATTCTGATTTACGGAAATCAAGCTTCTTACAGAATTTCATATGACCAGTAAAAGCTACTCTAATGTGCTTACTTGACAAAGCATACACGATGGGGTTCAACACGCATGACAAATACACCAGCCACATAGAGGCCCGGTACACCCATAACGGGGTCTCGGAAGAAGACTTGCAATTATGCGCCATCATATAAGGGCCCCAAGAAAAAAAGAACACCAGCACTAATATGAATCCAGTTTTAGCAATCTTGTACTCGCGAGGCAGCGCACTCACGCGTAGGCGCCTTTTGAACTGAGTGATGGCGCGAAGTCGTAAAAGCGGTGAGCCAATTTTTTGCACGGCAGATGCCTGGAACGAGTTTTTACTCCTTTTGTATTTTTCTGAAGACCTTTCAAAGCTCAGAGAACGAGATCGGGAACGATAGTTTTTCTGCGAAGAAGGCGCTGGTGAATTCGCTGTCACGAACTGCGCATGAGTAGGTAGGGCAATAGTTGGAGGCTCTAGATGGTTGGAAAAGGACAGAGGGTGAAAGTTTGTCGGCGGTGGAGGGCTCAGAGTAGCTTTTCGCATGCGCTGGAATAGATCAGAAGAGTCTTCATTCGTTGGTGATATAAACCCATTCAATGACAGCGTCCCTGGAACGTTATTTTCTAATTCATTCACTGGCGTAGAGGCGGTTGTTACTGTTACGTTTATGGAGTGCGTGCGCACTCTCTCACCATTCAAGTCCGCGCTCGGTGACTCCCCCCGCAATATCTGCTGGGTAGAAATTTCCTGCCACTCTGTTAGCGTCAAATCGTTCGATTCTGTTGACTTAACATTAGTGTAGCTTAGACTTAACGCCTTAGCTGTCGACGGAACAGAATGATCAGTCACGTTACTACCGTTAAACATCGCCGACACAGTTCCCGGGACGATTCCGCTGACAGAAAACTCCAGATTAACCGAACACGATCGCGGCCGCGGCTCCGAGTTCGCTTCGTCATCTTTTGTTTTTGCCGCTGCCTTCATCTGGATGACAAATGGCAGAAAGTTTTCGTCTGGTTTTATATGAGGACATCCAGCAGAATGCGAGCGGTATTTTCTATCATTATTTCTTCGGTTTCTAAATTCATCCTCTCTCTCAAATCCTCTTACATCTTGCATTGAGTTATTCGGAGTGTTGTCAGGTGACAACTGTGTATCTACTTTCACTCCAACGCGGTTTTGATTTTCTTTGCCTAAAGCTGAGTTTGAGATAAACGAGTCGTACGTGGGATCGGATCCCCTCACCTCCCTGTTCCGTGTCCCATGATGTCCGCTGGATGAAATTCTCCAGTGGGACACTTTCTTGGTGTGTCGACGTATGGATGAGAAAATCATTCCATATGTAGAGAGTAGTATGACTAAAGGCATTCCAAACGCAAAGACAGTCATAAAAGCATATAAACCACAGCTGCGGCGCCAGGCAGGGGAGCAGTTGTTTGTTCCAACGTGATATTCATAGTCTGTTATAAGTGGTAGACAAGATAAACACAGGGAAACCAGCCACACCAGGGCTAACATGCACAGGGCTCTCTTGGGTGTCAGCACGTGTTTGTAACGCATTGGGCGCACCACAGCGAAGTAACGGTCCGCGCTTATGCAACACAGAGTTGAAATGGAAGCCAGGCAGAGTGTTGTGCCGGACATACCGTTGAACTGAAAGATAAAGTACAACAAATCAGACTCATTTGTAGCCTCAGAAAACAGACGACAGTTTTGAGACGCCACTAACGGTTTCCCCGCGAAATGACGTCTGAAAAACGAGAGCAGAAATTCCATACTGATGACGGGTCACTACCCAGATCTTCTGATTGGTTGAAGCAAATTTCACAAGCGGCACGTCCAATCAGAAGCACTAACCAGATCTGGGTAGTGACAAGTCCTCAGTATAGAATCTTTGCGCTCGTTTCTCAGACGTTTTCTCGCGAGGAAACCGTTGGTAGCGTCGCCAAATGTCGTCTGGTTTTCATGGTTCATTTAGTTTTCACGGTTTTTCCTGCCAAAAACTACAATAGGCTTCTTGCACAATTACTTCATTTTACTAGTACGACCAGAATCTTTCAGGATTTTGTATTCTGCTGCAATTACGACTTTTGATATTTAAACTTTGCTTGGATTACCGAATTGCAATATAAAAGGTACAACGAAAATGATTCTGTTCATAGTAGTAATTTGACACCATCATGCAAATGCCTTTTTTATGGCTGCTGAATTACAGGTAGGTGTTTGTTTAGGGTTCATCGATTAAAGATTCATTGTGGTTAAGCGACGTGACCGTCGACGTTTAAAGGCATTGAAAGTTGCTCCCAGTACCCCTCCTCCTTGCATAGGTTTTTGTCGTTGCCTGAGTCGAGGCTAAAAAACTAGAAACTAGAACTGCCTTGACAGCCGACCTTGTCACAGTTTTGAAAGCCACCATGGACATCATGGCGAGTAGGCAGCCTAGTGAGAAATTATTGTGTTTGTGTGGGAATCTAATGTCGAATAATTTCGTTCGGCTGTTCTGAAAAAAAATATGAATTGTAAACTAAGGCTTCACTCCTGACAGTTCTACTGCAAAAATTTGAGGGTGTAACATGCAGGTGCATGCACTAGAACCACTTCTTAAAATTTTCTATACATTTCCCTGTAAAACTTTCTCTTCCCAATGCCAACTAAAATTTCATGGGAAAAATTGCAGAAAAATATATGGAAAATCTAAAGCAAGTGTCTGGTGAAATTTAAGCACTGTTGCGGCCCCCAAAATTTGTTTATAAAATCTTTGACTGTGCAGCTTTAGTTTACAATTCATATTTTTTCAGAACAGCCGTTTTTACGGAAATTATTCGACATTATATGATTCTCATACAATTACTTTAATTTCTCAAGAGGTTGCGTACTCGTCAAGATGGCTTCCAAACCCATCGTCGTCATCTGACCCTGGCAAGTTAACTTTCAGAACTTCATGCTTCGTAGTGAACGGTTTAGTAAATCCGAGGGACTTTTTACTGAACAAGCCTAATTTTATTTTCAAGCAAACACTGGTTATATTTCCCCCAAACTCGGCAGAGTCTTAATTTATTCTTCTCTGCAAGAGACGTAAGTGAAATTAGATTTGCAACGTTTCAGAAAACGTGACTTGAGTCATATCATTTGCAATCGATCGCGTGTTATCTTAACCTACAATATTTCCATCCATATTATTCAATTAAAATATTTTAACCATTGATGTCTTATTAAGCCTGCAGCAAACGTCATTACGATTTGGAATTATCTTTCACAAAACTACTTCACTCACGTTTCCCTTGGCAATAGATGGCGAAACATTTTACACGTTATCTGTTGATCACATGCATCAAAACATCACCGCCGATGCTTAAAATAAAATTCGTTTGTTACAAAA